AAATTCCATTCGGAACTGCCTCGGCTATTATCTATAATAACCTCGGAAACAATACGGATTGAAAGTAGTTCTACCACGTGGTTTCAGATGTAAACAGAAACAGAGATAATGTAAAACGAATTATATATTTGACATCTAATGTCTGTTCCGGTACTCTTACAACAATTTGTAATTTAAATATGCCCACTGATGTTCAATTTTAAACAAATTCGACTAAATGTCAACAGGTAGGTTGTTTGTACTTTCGGTTTCTACAGCCATAATAATAAATATATAATTATATATTATTTGCTTTTGTACCTATGAATTCACTTATTTTAGGTGGACTCTTTCTACATATATTGGAAATAAACTTGTCAACAACTCCCAGCATTAAATTACTTTTTGTTTACATGTTTAGTTTCTTAGCGTAGGTTAGACCGAGATACCGCATCCGTTCTGTGTATTCATACTATTGTGTTCGAGGTCCTTATCCGAAGACTGACGGAAAGGGCCGAGTAGTTGCGATTGTCCCAAACTCCTCATAGTGATTACCTCCCTTGGCAGAATTGTAATCACTGCCTTTCACTAGCCTGGGATTCAGGCGTTGATATTGTTTGCTTATTTATAACATACGCGCTATTTCATACTCGATCGTCATAGATAACGCACAACATCTCTGGTTTTGATAGTATCAACGCCTGGGGAAACCTGCGGGGTTTCCCATGTAATTATCGACAAATGATAATCCTATTAATAGACCGATTAGCACGTGACCAACAAATTTACCTGACTAAATCGAAATCGAGGCGAAGATGATGAATGTTGAAAATTTATCGCCATTTACTATTATAAATTGCGACCAGCACAATTCTCTGATGCTCACAAACTTTATCCAATTTAACTAATCAAACCTGTTGATCGAAAAAACTCATCATGCAATAAACTTTGTCAACGAGTGTTATTTTAATCGGAAATGGTGTTTTGAAAGCGAGGCTCCGTAACTGTTTGTTGAGCTTCGGGTCATTTCGTGGAAATTCCGTTTCTATTTTTAGCAACTAGTTTGTCGTTGCATGAGTTATCGTTCTTTAAATAACACCCGTAATTTTCGGGGTGTATACTAGGTGGCGCTTCGATCGAAAATCGTATTTCCCCAGGCTGTCGATTTGCCGAATAGAAGCACATAAAAATCGACAGACTGGAACCCAGGCTACCTTTCACAGACGTCACATGATGATGAAAGTCACATGACGTAACGTCGAAATTCAAATGTAAATATCGACCCATGTCGACCGTAACATAGAAAATCTAACGTCATTTTTCTCTTTCTGTTTTTTTTTTACTTTTCGCACCTTCGTCCGCTATATTTTATCAAAAAAAATCAAAAGTATACAAAATAATGAAAAATGAATTAAAAAGCTAAAAAATATAAAATATCAAAATATTGATATTTAAATGTTTGTGATGGCAGAGATCTCTGTACTGATAAGGGGAGATCACTGCGTACGAGATTGTCCAATCTCCACGCAGTGATCTCCCCTTAATTCTTCGGCGTACTTATAGATGCGAGGAGTTTGGGGGCAATTGGGGGCAAACTCCTCACAGTGATTACCTCCCTTGGCAGAAATCAACATTAAAACACGAAAATGGTGAAATTTTGAATTTAGAAACATCCGCAGATGTGTTCATACGGCGGTTATCATGGAACCTTCAATGTGACACAGTAGTACCATTTCATGAAAAGCGGCGTATTGTCCCCAATTAAAAAATTGCGTGTGCCCTAAACGAGAAAAAAATGGGCGACACTCAATAAAATGGAATTTTGAAAGGGGATCTGAGGTTATTCTACTTTTTACATGGGGCCATACATGCCTATTTACAAGCGAATAGACAGTCCATTACTGCCGACATTTAAGTTTTTACACGCGGCCATATGTGGCTAAGTAATAGAAACAATGCACAGTTCATTGCTGCAATTGTTTAGAATATTTCATGGGGCCATATGTGGCTGTCTGCCAGAGGCAATTTACAGCCTATAACTAAAGTTATTTCACTTTTACATGGGGCAGTACGTAGCGTTTCACAAGCGAATAGATAATCTATTGCTGCCAACATTTAAGTTTTTACATGGGCCATACGTTGCTAAGTAATAGAAACAATGCATGGTTCATCGATGCAACCGTTTAGAATTTTTTGTGGGGACATATGTGGCTGTCTGCCAGAGGCAAATTACAGCCTATAACTAACGTCATTTCACTTTTTAGATGGGGCCATAAGTGGCTGAGTAATAGAAACAATGCATAGCTCATTGCTTTAACCGTTTAGAATATTTCATGGGGCCATATGTGGCTGCCTGCCAGAGGCAATTAACAGCCTATAACTAAAGTCATTCTATTTTTTTACATGGGGCCATACATGGCTATTCACAATCGAATAGACAGTCTTTTGCTGCCGACATTTAAGGTTTTTTACGGGGTCATATGTGGATAATAATAGGAACAATGCTCAGTTCATTGATGCAACCGTTTAGAATATTTCATGGGGCTGCCAGAGGCAATTTACAGCCTTTAACTAAAGTCATTAAACTTTTTACATGCGAATAGATAGTCTATTACTGCCAACATTTAAGTTTTTCCACGGGGACATACGTGGCTAAGAAAAAGAAACAATGTACAGTTCATTGATGCAACCGTTTAGATTTTTTGTGGGGCCATATGTGGGGCCATATGTGGCTGCCTGCCAGAGGCAAATTACAGCCTATAACTAAAGTCATTTCACTTTTTAACATGGGGCCATACGTGGCTAAGTAATAGAAACAATGCACAGTTCATTGCTGCAACCGTTTAAAATATTTAATGGGGCCATATGTGGCTGCCTGAGAGGCAATTTAAAGCCTATAACTAAAGTCATTTCACTTTTTACAAGGGGTCACACTTGGCTATTAACAAACGAATATACAGTCTATTACTACCAAAATTTAAGTTTTTTACACGGGGCCATACGTGGCTAAGTAATAGAAACAATGCACTGTTCATTGATGCAACCGTTTAGATTTTTTTGGGGGCCATATGTGGCTTACTAATAGAAGCAATGCAAATTCCATTGCTGCAACCGTTTAGAATATCTCATGGGACCATATGTGGATGCCTGCCAGAGGCAATTTACAGTCTATTACTACAAAGTTTATTTCTCCAACCGTTTAGAATATTTCATGTCTGCCTGCAAGAGACAATATTCAGCCTATATCTAAAGTCATTTCACTTTTTACATGGGGCCATACGTGGCTATCCACAAGCGAATAGATAGTCTATTACTGCCGACATTTAAGTTTTTATTTGTTTGGGTCGTTAGACCAAACAAATAATGGTAGCGAAATTTCAAACCCTGATGCTGTTAATTGCAAATGCCGAAAGTAGTCCGCTTTTCTGAAGCGGTTAATTTTCTTTATATGTACACTAACGCCGAAAAATTCAGAGGAGACCACTGCTTAAAGATTGTCAAATGACAGGCGCATTAATTTTCAGGCAAAATAGTTTCCGAATGGTCGAAGATTTCTAATATTGTTTTATTCTTTATAGATATACATGCTAATAGTAAGCTCCGTGATTATTTACATCTGTGTTAAACAACAGGTTTCAAAATAATAAGGGTTACAAACCTTTATTTAGAATAATGTGGTTTTCCTCAGGCCGTTTTCATATAACTTCACCGTGGCCGAGGGGTTTGCACGCTCGCTTAGGAAGCGAGAGGTCTTGAGTTCAAATCCCAGTTAAGGGTACTCATTTTTTTGTAATTGTTTAAGTCAAATAAACATTGAATTTAATAACAGTGTTGCAATTAGTCTTAAAGCCAATTTACTACAGTAAAAACACTGGAAACAGCATTGGTGGCACTATACAAAAACTAATTGATTCATAATCTCACAACCTTCCCCTTTCTGACATTCTGAAACCCAAACAAATTCAGCGCCTTCTGTGCTTTGATTTTACACTTGGCCAAACGTGGCTAACTAATATAAACAATGCAAAGTTCATTGCTGCAACCGTTTAGAATATGTTATGGGGCCATATGTGGCTGCCTGCCAGAGGCAATTTAGAGCATATAATTAAAGTCATTCTACTTTTTACATGGGGCCATACGTGGCTATCCACAGGTGAATAGACAGTCTATTACTGTCGACATTTAACTTTTTTACACGGGGCCATACGTGGCTAACTAATATAAATGCAAATGCAAAGTTCATTGCTGGAACAGTTTAGAATATTTCATGGGGTCATACGTGGCTACCGGCAAGAGACATGTTCAGCCTTTATCTTCAGTTATTTCATTGGGCCACACGTGGCTATCCACAAACGAATTGACAGTCTATTATTGTCGACATATATTAAGTTTTTTTACACGGGGCCATAAGTAGCTAAGGAATAAAACAATGCACAGTTCATTGTTGCAACCTTTTAGAAATTTTCATGGGGCCTTATGTGGCTTTTAAGGAGACGCAGTACTCTAGCTATGGGGGTAAATATCTGGTATTTTCCAAAGGAGGTGTGCACCCATTTTTATGGGACAAATAAATTAAACAAGCTAACCATTTAAGAATTTTCATGAGGCCATATGTGGCTACCTGCAATAGATAATATACAGTCAGATCAGCTTTTACACATAACCATACTATGATTATTGCAAACATTTAAAACTGATATGATAACATATTAATAATTATAGTCCGAGGCGTTAGCCAATTTTATTTTCAATGGGCTATAATAAGCAATACGGTATATGATAATAAGTCTGCCTCGACAACCATTCAAACATTTATATGTGGCTATTTGTCGTTTTGGTCATTACATATAATTTTTTAAAGATTTTGTTCTATTTGAGTTCTGCAATATTTTTAAACATACCACAGATATATAAACAATATATTTAGCTCCATGAACATACTGATAGGCGGACCGCGGAAGAAAATAAACTTAACAGATTTAGTGTCCTTGTACCTAGCGATTGATAGCCGTAAGGGAGACACTTGCCATGCATTCTTGTCTGTTAAGTAGAATGGATATGCATAGTTTTGGAATTATCTTTTGTTTGCAAATCTTTTACGGTAATAGATTTTAGAGTCATCATTCTTAGTTGAAACAGAATGTAAGATTATGTATGTTTCTTCTTGCTGTGTCGTGAATGTGATAATGATTTGTAAACATCACTTGGGACCACTGGGGACGGGTATAACCGGTACTTTACGATACCGAAATCAACTTCATTTCAGTAAGGTTGAAGGGTAACTTTACCGAAATCAACTTTTCATTACCGAAATCAACTCATAAAATTATAGCTAAAGATACTTCAGCGAACAGGTTTTATAGTATTGCTAGACCTGTTTACTGTCGCAAGGTCAAAATAAAAGCGACATATAAAGTTATGGAAGCCAGAACTAATAAAATTACAATTATACAATTTATTATCCCCCGCCGAAAAGGCGGCGGGGGATATAGAAATAGTCTCCGTCCGTCCGTCCGACCTTCCGTCCGTACGTCTGTCCTTCCGTCCGACATTTTTGTCCGGAGCATATCTCTAAAAGTATTTGAGTTATCAACTTGAAACTTCATAGGTGGATAGACCCCATTGAGGAGGAGTGCAGTGCACAAGAATGATAACTCAACTCTGCATAATTTTTGAGTTATTGCCCTTTGTTATTTTTCAAAATTGATTTTTGTCCAGAGCATAACTCCAAAAGCCTATGAGATATCAACATGAAACTTCATAGGTGTATAGATCTCACTCAGGAGGTGTGCAGTGCACAAGAATGATAACTCTACCTTTCATAATTTTTGAGTTATTGCCCTTTGTTATTTTTCATACTTAATTTTTCACCTGAGTGGAGCATAACTCAAAAGTGTTTGAGATATCAACATGAAATGTCATAGGTGGATAGATCTTATTGAGGAGGAATGTTGTGCGCAAGAATGATAACTCTTCCCTATACAATTTTTGAGTTATTGTCCTTTGTTTTTTTCATGCTATTTTGTCCAGAGCTTATCTCAAAAAGTATTTGAGGTATCAACTTGAAACTTCATAGGTGGATGGATCTCATTGAGGAGGAGTGCAGTGCACAAGAATAATAACTCTACCCTGCATAATTTTTGAGTTATTGCCCTTTGTTATTTTTCAAAATTAATTTTTGTCCAGAGCATAACTCAAAAAGCCTTTGAGATATCAAAATGAAACTTCATAGGTGCATAGATCTTACTCAGAAGGTGTGCAGTGCACAAGAATGATAACTCTACCTTTTATATTTTTTGAGTTATGGCCCTTTGTTATTTTTCATACCTAATTTTTCACCCGAGTGGAGCATGAATCAAAAATGTTTGAGATGTAAACATGAAATGTCATAGGTGGATAGATTTTATTGAGGAGGAATGCTGTGCTCAAGAATGATAACTCTTCCCTGTACAATTTTTGAGTTATTGCCCTTTGTTCTTTTTCATACTATTTTGTCCAGAGCATATCTCAAAAAGTATTTGAGGTATCAACTTGAAACTTCATAGGTGGATGGATCTCATTGAGGAAGAGTGCAGTGCACAAGAACGATAACTCTACCCTGCATAATTGTTTAGTTACTGCCTTTTTTTTATTTTTCAAAATTAATTTTTGTCCCGAGCATAACTCAAATGCCTTTGAGATATCATTATGAAACTTCATAGGTGCATAGATCTAACTCAGGAGGTGTGCAGTGCACAAGAATGAAAACTCTACCTTTTATAATTTTTGAGTTATTGCCCTTTGTTATTTTTCATACTTAATTTTTCAATTCAATTTTTTTTCTCAAAAAGTATTTGAGGTATCAACTTGAAACTTCATAGGTGGATAGATTTTACTGAGGAGGAATGCAGCACACGAGAATGATAACCTACCCTGCATTATTTTTCAGTTATTGCCCTTTGTTATTTTCAGCTATCAGTATTCACATAGGTTTCAAATCTGTAATCACTTTAGCCATCAGTTTTCATTAACAAAAGACCTCTTAAAATGGAATTATTCTGCTCTACTACATATACATTCTTCCAATGAGCAAACACATTCGGCGGGGGATGGCCATGTTGACATGGCTCTTGTTTGAATTATTTTTGTGCCCCCACATTAGTGGCGGGCATTTAGATTTACCCTTGTCCGTCCGTCCTTCCGTCCGTCCGTTCTCTTTTGTGTCGCACGTAACTCAAAAAGTATTTGACCTAGAGTCATGAAACTTAACAGGAATGTTGATCAGCATGTGAAGTTGTGCACCTGGGTATTTTCGTGTGGATATTTTTAGTATTTTTAGAGTAATTGCCCTTGACTTAGTAAAATTTTGCAAGTTTCAACTTGTGTCGCATGTAACTCAAAAAAGTATTTGACGTAGAGTCATGAAACTTTACAGGAATGTTGATCAGTATGTGTAGTTGTGCACCTGGGTATTTTCGTGTGGATATTTTTAGTATTTTTAGAGTGATTGCCCTTGACTTAGTAAAATTTTGCAATTTTCAACTTCTTTCGCATGTAACTCAAAAAAGTATTTGACGTAGAGTCATGAAACTTTACAGGAATGTTGATCAGTATGTGTAGTTGTGCACCTGGGTATTTTCGTGTGGATATTTTTAGTATTTTTAGAGTAATTGCCCTTGACTTAGTAAAATTTTGCAATTTTCAACTTCTTTCGCATGTAACTCAAAAAAGTATTTGACGTAGAGTCATGAAACTTTACAGGAATGTTGATCAGTATGTGTAGTTATGCACCTGGGTATTTTCGTGCGGATATTTTTAGTATTTTTAGAGTTATTGCCCTTGACTTAGTAAAATTTTGCAATTTTCAACTTGTGTCGCATGTAACTGAAAAAGTATTTGACCTAGAGTCATGATACTTTACAGGAATGTCGATCAGCATGTGAAGTTGTGCACCTGGGTATTTTCGTGTGGATATTTTTAGTATTTTTAGAGTTATTGCCCTTGACTTAGTAAATTTTGCAATTTTCAACTTGTGTCGCATGTAACTGAAAAAGTATTTGACCTAGAGTCATGAAACTTTACAGGAATGTTGATCAGCATGTGAAGTTGTGCACCTGGGTATTTTCTTGTGGATTTATTTAGTATTTTTAGAGTTATTGCCCTTGACTTAGTAAAATTTTGCAATTTTCAACTTGTGTCGCATGTAACTCAGAAAGGATTTGACATAGAGTCATGAAACTTTACAGGAATATTGATCAGCATGTGTAGTTGTACACCTGGGTATTTTCGTGTGGATTAGATTAGTATTTTTAGAGTTATTTCCCTTGACTTAGAAAATGTTGGCAATTTTCAACTTGTGTCGCATGTAACTCAAAAAGGATTTGACATAAAGTCATTAAATCTTATTAGAAGGTTGCTCAATATATTTAGTTTTGCTCCTGGGGTTTCGCTTGTGGATTTATCTAGTATTTGTTATTTCCCTTGACTTAGTAAAAACTGTTTCATTATGTTGTTATTTGTTCCTTGAGTGCTTGAGTTAGAATTGACCAAATTTACAGGAATAATGACCAACATCACTAAATTACAGGAATAATGATTCACATCACTGTGAAGCTATGAACCAGGGACTTTGCATGTGGATTTTTTTCAGTGTTTTTTTCCCCTGCTCAAAAAAGGTATATTTTCCCCTAAAAATGCTAAAATTTCCCTTAAATGCCTCATGTTCTTAACAGCATCTGACTTATAATAGCTAGAAGATAGAAATTGGTCCCTAGAGATAGCCTCTGCTATGTACCATGTATGTTAAATTAAATTGAAATTAATTTTTTTCATAAAATACGTGGGTAAATTCCATTTTCAATTGTTTGAATTTGATTTCAGGTTTCCCCCTTTTCTAATTTATCACGCTATATTTTCCCTTTCAGAAAGCCACAGGTTGTTTTGAAAATTGGAAAAAAATCACTGTTTTTTCTGTTTTGTTAGAGTTATTGCCCTTGACTTACAGTAGCATAAATTTGCAATTTTCAACTTGGGGTTGGCTTGGGCATTTATTCAGTATTTGTAAAGTTCTTGCCCTTTACTTAGTAAAAAGATTTTTAGTTTTCAAAAAATATTTGACCTAGAGTCATAAGATTGACAGAACAGTGGCTCGGTGGGGGCACCTGTGTCCTATGGACACATTTCTAGTTGAATAATATAGTAATATTGGTTGAATTGAACTTACATGCAAAAAATCACTCAAAAATAATAGATATTGATAATGTTAGAGACGAAAATATATTTTTATGATTTCTTCCCAACCGAAATCAACATTAATATACAGAAATCGACATGAAAAAGCAAGTTTGAATAATTTATAATGTGAAACCTGTTTTGATATTTAATATTAATGAATATTCAATATGACATAAAATCAAAGGGAAATTAACAAACAAGAGGGCCATAATGGCCCTGAGGTCGCTCATCTGTATATAGCCCCCCCCCCCCAATGTTGCAGAGCCAATTTAACCCAAGGGCTTTTATTTGCACAAACTTGTAGAACCCCATAAGAAGATGTTTCATCAAACAGGGCTTTTTTAAAAAAAAGATTTTTTTTAAAGTTTTACTATACACATTTGTTAAAAAAATGACACCCTGGGGGCCGGGCCAGTTTTGCCCCCCAGGGCTTTTATTTGAACAAACTTTGTAAGACACTTACTAGAAGATGTTTCATGCTTAATATCTAAACTTAGCTATTTGAGTTTTTTCAAAGAAGATTTTAAGTGTTTGCTATACACATATAAGAAAATCATGACCCCGGGGCGGGCCAATTTTGACCCCAGGTCTTTTATTTAACAAAACTTTTAGACACTCACTAAAAGATAGTTTATGCTTAATATCTTAACTCTAGCTATTTGGGTTTTTTCAAAAAGAAGATTTTAAGTTTTTGCTATCACACATATAAAAAAATCATGACCCCCGGGGCGGGGCCAATTTTTGACCCCAGGGCTTTTATTTTACAAACTTGGTAGACACCTATTAAACATGTTCATGCTAAATATCTTAAGCTCAAAACTCTTTTGGGGTTCTTTAAAACGAAGATTTTTTAAGTTTTTACTATATGCATATAGGGAAAAATCAAGA